GACTTAGATCAGCCCAGAGGTTGTTTCAGGGTTTGATAAATTTGAAGTTTGAGTGGTTTATCTTAACAAAACTGCAAGTAACACTTAGTTTACTTTGTACTTMGGTTCTTAAGTGCTGTCTATTCAAAGAACAAGGAGTATCATTAACAGTAATCGTCRCTAATCCCTGTCTGTCTGGCAGGAACTCAACATGTTTGTATACTACTATCTTACGTTTGCCATTCATTAAATATTTAGCAGGCAATAAAATTGCTTTGGTGCCTAAAGAGGCAGTTCTGCGCATCGCCATTGGGATGGAAGAAAGGTGAACTTTGCGCGCGAGAAATTAAAATGAAACACGAAAAAACTGAACGCAAAACTGAATGCGAAAAAATTGAAATTTAGCAGCAAAATTAGCAAATATAAAGGTTAGGAAAACAAACAAATAAACAAAGAAAAGTGAGAGGCAAAACAATAAAATAAAATAAAATAAATTGTGACGTCATTGCCGCCATATTGGTTGACTTGAATAAAAGATTTGATCTTGGTCTCTTTTGTTGCAGGTCAACCAACATGGCGGCCATGTCTTACTTTTTCTTTTCTTTTTTTCTTCTCGTTATTATTAAAAAAAAAAAAAAAGACAAATAGAAGAATGGAAAAATGACAAGCAGAGGAAAGAAATAACTATGAGATTTTGGTCTATGTGAACCAATTTCTAAAACTTTTTAAAGTCTTGAAAACTATCTGAAAAACGTCGGTGCGATATAACATCTTGAGGGTTCAACTACAAACAGACCTAGATCTGTGTTGAGTACTCACAGTTAGCTGGTATTTGTCTTTAATAAATCATTTCTTTTTATTGGTCGTTCAGGTTCATTGCTTCCTCATTACCAAAGCCTCTAGCGATTAGCTATTAATTACCTTCCAAAAATAACACGCCTTTTGATTGGACGGTTAATAGATGTTCTCGCGATGAAAAGCTGTTTGAAAAAAATCTAAACACCATTTTTTYCCGTTAAAAAGTTAGTTTGACGTCTAACTATCTAACGCATCGTCTTGTTGAACTTGCGGTGATTGTTCCAGTGAGATTCTATTCGTTTTATTGACGACATGYGCAGTTGTCGTCACTTTATACTTTTTTGATGGTCGAAAAGAGATGCAAAAATRTCTTTGCATTATGTTCTTGAACTCGGGATTATTGTTGTAATAAATAACAGAGTTTACGAAGGAGCCTCCGTATTGRAGAAGCTTGGTAAAATAAATGACATTAGGGGGAATGATAGTGTTGTAATCAAGAACAAAGTACACGGAGTTTACGCATTGGATCGGAATCCAGGTTAAAAAAAACGCAAACGTCACCATCTTGAGAATGCGCGTCAGTTTTTTCTCGTTTAGGGAAATTGTACGGAAATTTTTTTGTTGTTCAGTTCGCATTCGAAGTTTGATGGTCATTACCAAGTTAACGATGGAAATGGTGATGATGGCGAGAGAGAAACAAATGGACGAAACATAGATGAATGTTGCTGGTCCCTCGTCAAGCCATGTGAGCCACGCAACGGCGATTCCACTTGCAGTAAWCCATACACCAAAAAGTAGATAGAAATATACCTTTCGACGCGCGCAACGATGTTTGAATGGAAAAACGACGGCAAAGCATCGATCGACTGAAATCAGAACCACAGTAAACATGGACCCTAARCCCGAAGTAATATCGATTGCCATGTACATTCGGTAAAGAAAGTCGTACGGATTGTATTCAGTGCGGATCCATAACACGAGAAAAAATATATACAGAGGTARCGAAAGAATGCCAACAAGTTCATCTAGTAACGCAAGGTTTAGTAGAAAGTAGTACGCACGGGAGCGTTGTGCCTGTTTGCTCTTTGCATAGTAGAAGAAGACAAGACCGTTTCCAACTACGATAAGGATATCTACGAGAACGAAAGTTGCAGTCCATGACGTGAGTTCAGCGATGGAGRATGAGATTCCCCAAGCGCCATACTTTGAGCTGCTGTTCGTCAAGCTACTGTTATTCATTTTGTCTTTGGTTTTGCAGAGTAATTTGTTGCCCTTCAAAGAAACTTGATTTTCTCTTGATAAGCAGAGGAGACTTTATCAGAGCGCGCCAAAAGCGCGGTGATTTCTATGGATGATATGGATTCAAGTAGAATATTCTCTATAATCGTCGTTGTTTTTGAAAGAGTTCCCTCGTTTTCGGAAAAAACGTCTTTATCAATAGTGATTCACAGTAAGAAGTTTCGCCTTCCTTCTTCAGACCAGTGTTAAATTAACTTTGGTTTTAAGCTCAGAAACTTGTACCACTAGAACCTACTAGTGTTCTTCTATTGTCCAATAATCTGTTTTCAGTTTGATTGCCAATAATCTCAACAAGACTATCTCGAAGTCAACACAGTCCTTTACATTACCTGTCCTGTTGAAGATAAMAATAATTGAAAAAAGAGATGTTAAAATTAAACCTTTTTAACGAGTCCGCGTATGAATCGAACCTCTTCAAAGGCCATCAAAGCATTAATTTTGTCAAACCCTGAAACGTACCACGCTGCTGCTCAAAAATGAGTCAAGACGAGTTGTCACTTTAATTTAAGAAAAACACGCAAATCCATAAGTCATTTTCTGTTTGCATTAAGATAAGTGAGAGTGACGCTCATAACCTGATTACAAATGCCACTAAAAGCTAAAAACCAAACAGCGCAAGCATTGCTATGAATGGCAATCCTTTTGCCAACCAATCGGCAACATCGACCCAAGACTTTTGTAAGGCACCAGAGACTTTACGGATGTACATTTGTATTCTATTACATGTAATGATATCCCATCTGTTCGGTTCCGAGTAAGACTTTCGTGGCAGACAGAAACTAAAATATATCTAGTGTTTTTTGACACAACCTTGGACAATTACCATCTAATTCTGTCGAACTTTGCTGTATTTATTTATGAGGGATTTGTACGTATCTAACAGACAGGAAAATAAGTAAAATGCTACGAAATTCAATATATTTGACAAATAAAGTTCAAACATCCTGTATATTTCTGGCCATTAACTTAGTTCGTTCGCATAGCTGTAAATCGCTATCAAAACGGACTTCGGTTTTGGAGAGACAACGCCAGGGCGTAAGACAAATAAGGTCGCCCTCATCAATCCACAGTGCGATCACCTTAATTAATTTCCAACTAGTAATATCATAACATTCTACTCCGATGTCTCAAGAATCAAAGGTCTTTGTTGTTGGTGTTTGTTCTAAATACATTAGAATGTTCAGTAAAAAGAGCTCATTCAAACAGTAAAGCCAATAAACCTAGAGGTTGTCATGTACATATTATGCACCGTTGTTTGGAAATCATGCATGTCTATATTAATCCTGGCTGGAATTAAAGTAAAACAAAACGAAACGAAAGGAAGGATACTTCATTATACATGTCTTAGGTCTGTGATATATAGACCATTCAGGCTTGTGTGGCTTGTATGGCGTGTACATTTGTATTTTCAATGTCGTAATCTAGCTTCATTCAGCTTTCACACCTAATAAAAATGACTAGAAAGAGTGAACAAATAGACTAAAACATCTTCAAGAAAGCGTTTTTTCCAACATATGTCCACAATATTCGTTATCCTCGAGGGGCATTCTTAACATACCGATCGATGTTTTACAGACATCATCCCGACGCGAGCTTGACACTCTTTATTGACTTACTTATCCGGCATCTTCCATTAGTGCCTTGTTTTCCTAGGAATGAAACAAAAACCTAAAACTGAAGCGAGTCGAAATTGTCCTCCGGGCTATATTGTCTATTCATTTTTAAAAGTCTATTTTGACCAATTATCTTGACTAAATTTGATTTTCCCCCCTAAATTTGCTACTGAACTACGTTGAGACTCGCATGGACAACTAAAAATAACGGGGTGTTATGGCGCGCGCCGCCGAGTACCGTGCGTGCTGAGGTGCACTGTTGACTTCAAAACCCTGTTCAGTTTAATGCGCAATCTTCGATGTTGATATCTGTTTTCCTCGCCCACGCATGCGTAGTGAGACTACGTTGTCAAGGTTTGAAAAAGAGATCTAAAATAGCGACGCGATTTAATGGTTCATCAGCCGCTCAAATTATCTTCGAAATCAAGAGATATAACTATTAAAATGAGCTTCTTAAGTAAGAACTTCCACTTAGCGTTAAAAAGGCTCTTATAAAGTGTGAAGTCCAGTTAAGACCAGTATTAAGATCTGCAGCGTTGGAAGACGATCCAATAGCCAAATTGAAGAACGCCCACACAAATGGGATCCTTCTTAAAATTGTCTGAATGCAAGGATAACATGGAAATACAAAAGAAATGCCACAAATTCCATCGAGAAAAAGTGTTTTTTTTTTTTTGTATTTCCTCGCATCCACGATACTTTTAAGAAGGGTCCATTGGTAAGGTTGCTTCAAAATGAGAAGAAGAAAAAAAGTGTGAGACTGAAACAAGATTCGCGTAGGGATTTAATCCTTTATCTCTACGATAAGATAATAGTTGTTTAGGGTTTCAAATAAAAAGTCTGGGTATCGTGAAATAATAATAATCGGGGATAGGAAATCTTCAAGGATTTTCSCCTTTCTTGAGGCGCAACCGCCGAACAATCTCACACGAGCTCCTCATAACGCTCAAAGCTCGTGTTTCGTTCGAAKTCAAAGCGAGCCGGCACATGGTCGATCAGATCAAAGGTAAAATAACGAATAAATGGAATCAGTTGCTAATACGCTAAGCCTTTAAGCTTGCATATAGTGTGTATCGGAAAAGTAATCCTAATGAGGTCAAGTCAAGGAACTTCTACTTCTACTTGTGCATTAAAGAGTTTAAAAACTGAGATCTGTAACACTATAAAACCGCATTTCTGAATCGGAGATGGAAAAATCTAGACAGAAGTGAGAAAATGGATTAATTCTACATTAATATTGACGCGCGAAGCGCTAAAAACTAGTTGAATTGACTATCAGTTTGCCTCAAATCAATCGCGCCAAAGCGCGGGCGTTCAACATTGGAAAACATACTTCTTTGCGCGAAATTTCGTTTAAGAACTAACTGAAAAACGCAACAAAAAAAAAAAACAAAAAAAAACAAAAAAGAAACAACAACAACAGCAACAATCTTTCCGTAAGGAAAATCAGAATCAAAACCGAGTTTTACAAAGATATCCCRTAAGACATGACGATAGCTTCAAGCATGTCACCTTAATACGTACACTAATGTGTTAGAGTAAAAAGCAAGACAAACACAACAGTCAAGTAGCTCCATTGTTCTAATCAAATATCAAACCTTGGGGTCGTATCCGAGTTTTGCGGCTCAGAAATTTTTGAATTTTTTTTGTAAACAAATCAAGCCAGGTGAATGCCTATTTTCGCTACCGCTTCTGACCTASGTTGAATGGAAATGGAATTATTGTTTCAAATAGTTAATAAAGCTTATTCTAAGGGTTTATGATAATAATATTTCTTTTCTTGATTTTATTATTTCTTAAGATACTACAGACAAGGAGTTGTAATGGAGGGAACACMAATGCAGCGTTGGCCAATTATGACAAACACAAAATGAATTAAGAATTTATTTCACGGAGGAAGGAGATTGAAATGTAACTGTACATTATTAGGGATTATCATTGATTATATATTATTGGAATCATTTGATTATGACTTACCTTTATCGTAATTATCACCGTAGTCTATTCCTTGATCCGTGTGCGTGTGAAATCATCCAGCACTGCACTGCTTATGACTTCTTATATAACCTAAAGCCCCGCCTTACAAAAWAGCATCCTTTCGTGCTAATTTCCCAATCAAGTGTTTTAAGGCCGCTTCCTTGTGACCTCCACTGACAACAACATCCAGACAACCAAAGACGTCATTGGAGTGGTTGGAACTCCTAGACCACGTGGCGACAACCCACAATTTACGCTAAATATAAGAAAACTGTTTGCTGTTTGTGGACGGATATTTAGATGGTCTGATTCAGCTAACGAAGATGTGTTTGCCAGAACAAAGAAGAAAGAAAATTAGCCATCGTAAGAGATTTAAAATATCGCGTTTGTTGTAAGAACGGCGTGTTTCATATCACGTGATATAAATAAGGCGGGCTCATTATATGCGGTTTTAAAAATAACTTATCGTAATCAGCATCATTCTAAGCAAAAAATCAAAGCAAAACAAACATGTTTGCTAGATAAAACAAGAACGAAAATGAGTCATCCTAAGAGATTAATAATATTYAAATACAGTATACTGGATTTGAGAGCAGTTGATTCCCATCCCGATTATAAATATTGTTTTTGCTTTACGAACGTGGCATGTTTCATGTTTTGTTATATGAATAAGGCGGGCTCATTATATGCTGTTCTAAAAATAACTTTTCGTCGCTGACATGTTTCGATGTACATATGTAAATATGATTTGGGAATGGGAACCCATTCTGTCGAAAAAGAAGCGGGTAACACACAACAGGCAGAACGAAGCCTGGCAGTGGATGAACAAACAATGAATGGTGAGATAAAACAAAGAACGCAGCTTACATGTAGAACAATACACATTGTTCACCATAATCCATGCTTTCTTTGTTTTTGTTATTTTGCCCAATCCCAAGCTTCGTTCTACCAGTGGACACCGACCCAAAAAGAAAGGAAAATCCTTGATTGAGTTCGTTGTTCCCGTATTGGCAGCTCAGTCAAGGAAATTCCAGATTATCAAATAAACGTTTCTCTGTGTTTAGACTGTGGTTACTGTAGCCATCTGTTAGCAAGGTTACTAAACAAGGCCTTCGGCAATAAAAAGTTCCTTTTAAGTTTACTTTATCTCTTTTCATTGCAGAGCTCAGAATAGGATAAAAAACAGAACAGAGGAGAGGAGAGGAGAGGAGAGGAGAAAAGAGAGGAGAAGAGAGGAGAGGAAAGTATCGTCAGTGGAGTAGAGTACAACAGGGGAAAGTACAGTAGAGAACTAACTATTACTCACTCCAACCAACCAAGCATCCTACAACATTACATCCTACCCAATGCCTCACCACCAGCATCTATTAATTTGAGGTAATTAAACCCATTATTGACTTTCTAGCTACGTACTTCCTCATTTATTTTTTTATTTGTTTTATTTCAGAAGTACAGAAGTCATATGGTATATACTATCCTGTATCCCGTTTACATGTGAACATGTCATACGTACGAGTTTGAAACTTACGGTACAACACATAGTGGATACGTGAAAGCTGAAAAGCTGATGATTTGATGCTTTGGGTTTTAATTRGGTGAAAGGGATGGCCAATTGAGTGTCGCACATTATCTCAAGGTAATATATGCTTAGCGTTTTGATTGGTTAAAAGGGAAAGCCAATTGAGTGTCGCACATTATCTCAAGGTAATATATGCTTAGCGTTTTGATTGGTTAAAAGGGAAAGCCAATTGAGTGTCGCACATTATCTCAAGGTAATATATGCTTAGCGTTTTGATTGGTTAAAAACAGGAAGCCAATTGAGTGTCACGCATTACCGCCAGGCTGGATGCTTGGCGTTTTGATTGGTTAAAGGGGAAGCCAATCGAGTGTCACATTATCGCAAGGYACTGTATGCTTAGCGTTACGATTGGTTTAAATTGGGAGCCAATTGAGTGCGAKGTCAGATACCATAAGTTTCCAGCTCTTAGAAGATATATTGTATTAACTCGTAACAAATATATATATATTCTATATTTCATCCCATTTTTACGCTGTATCATAAAAAACAGTTACAATTATTTACATCAAGTACCGTATTCCCACAGGGAAGACAGCGGCTCTGAAATGACTATTTACAACCTTCAATGAGCGCACCCGCGCTACGTAATGTACCCCGTCAAAAGTATTTACAATATCCCGGCTAAGTCGGTGAATGTGAGTAACCCCATTCACAGAATCGTACCCAGTCCTCATTTTCAGGTTTCAACGTGAACGAGAGAAAGGATTGGGTACGAGTCTGTCCCATTATAATACATGTACATCAGAGCGTATTTTCGCTATTTACACAATTCCAAACGTGGCACGCTTCCTTGTGTTTTTTGATTCCGTCTCTATCAAATTCACAACAGTCTGAGTTAGTTATGTTTGATTGACGGCAGCGAAAACCCAAGTCGTTTGGTCACAAAAACATGAAAAACGCTCAGTATTCTAGAAAACACTGAGTAAAGAGTATCGAAAATTTGTTAACCAAAATAACCCAGTAAATACAAAAAGAAAATCACATCTTATTCAAAACAATTAGGGTGTGGTAGCGAGATAGATTTTTAGCGTGTCGCCACAGTTCGGTGAGATCCGTGGTATTAGCCCCTCTAGAGGCTTAGCACCATCACGTGATAATATGACAGGTAGCAGGAACAATTGAATCTTGACTAATCCGATTGAAATAAAAAAGAATTCAGTTTCCCAGAAAAGGCTATCGTTGTGCCTCCTGTTATGRCCGGCATCACGTGATGGTGCAGAGCCTGTTTCATATTAATGCCTTGGTTATCTCAGGGTTTATTCTGCTAGTGTGRTATGACAATGTCATCTTAAAGGGTATATTCGTAATCGTTATGTATATTATTTTACACTACTTACAACCGCATATCTATGATTACTGACTTCACTGATCTCTTATTATTCATCATGAATTTCGTTCTGGCTCATTAGCATAAACTTTACAGGAACACGCATTTGCCTGCATACAATATGGGCCCTTCTCAGAAGGGTATCATGGATGCGAGGCTAACATGGAAATTCACAAATTCTATCGAGAAAAGGCACTGAGCTTTTCACAGTCATACGAAAACTGCACTATTATCGTAATAAGAATCCGCCCCCCTTAAAATCAAAAATAAGGAACCAGTGAATTGTAAAAGTCAGAAAAGTTATTTAGAATCGTTTGCTTCCATTATTGATTGACCTAAGATGTCAGTCATGTGATCTGCCATGTTAAGTCAGCCAACACACACACATCTGAMAAAGCTCGCGTGACTATCACACGTGATTGGAAATGTTGCGTGACTTGTGATGATTAACCACGAGATCGACCACATGGTATTCACATTACAAGTCAAATTACTTTAAGGGAATAATTATACGTGACCTATGAACATTAAACACGTGAYATACCAAGTGATTAATCGCGTGACAGGACACCTAGTCCAGCGCTGGACCCACTTTTTTGAAGCACGCGCGGCCAAGACGAAACGAGTAGGAAAGAGACTGGTAAGAGTTATTCGTATCTCGTGCGCGCGCGGTTTTCCTTTTATTTTGAAATGAAAATTAGTCAGTTAGTGAGAGAAGTGGGTCCAGTTCTGGACTACAGACCAGCATTTTATGATTTATGATGATTAACCATGTCATACCTTTTAAATATTTTCTATGGAGGAAAAATATCACATGACTATGACAAGTTGGAGTACTAATCGTCTCCAGCAATATTCCAATGAATTTTCGACTTTGGATTTTGGATTTTTGTTTTTAAGTTTCTTGAATGTGATTCCATTGTAGCAGATGCCTCTACCATGTTGTTATTCTCTGAATTTATTCTTTYGTTTCTTAGCTAGAATTTCATCATGTTTGTGCGAGAAGCATTATGGAGATATTTGGGTTTCCTCATAAATGGGAAGACTAGACATCTTTACTCTGGTCCAGCTAATTGTTTATCCAAGTAGGTATATGTATCCATAGTCATAAGGTCTCTTGAAGATGACAACAGCTCGCAAAGAATTGTGGGTRCGATATACTTATATTGAATCTGATCCCAACCTCTTCCTAAAAATGTCATTTTCATTTCCATGATCATTTYTATTCCCATTTCTATTTCTATTTCCATCTCCATTCCCATTTGCATTTCCATTCTGCTTGCTTTTCGCTTTATCTGATCGCTTTTTTGACTCCTTGAGAGATATCAAAGCCGTACTGGGCTGCCTGTATACTTTTTTCCCCATCAACCGTAGCAACGCGATTCGGAATTCAGGGATCTTGAAAGCATATATAACAGGGTTGATAAAAGAGTTGCAGTACTGTAACAACTTGCTGAACAACACWACCTCCAGTTGCACATTCGTATCACAGTTTTTGGTACAAAATCTGTGCGCAACGTTTAAAAGATAAAATGGCAGCCATGTGACCACGAAGACAAGTGTTACAATGCTGAGTGTCACAGCTAGTTTACGGTTCTTCTCGATTACYCTTTTGGTTTTCTCGTTGATACGCATGCGTACTTTAATTGCGATACAAATATAAGCAATACAAATGATCCCGAGGGAAGAAAACAGTGCACCCATTGTCGAAACATAGAAAACACTTTCCATTATTTTAAAGTTATCATAGTATGAAAAAAGCATTCGTAGCATACCTAGAATTCCAGCGAAAAGCCATATCGCAAAAATATGAATACGATAGACGTAAGCCTTTGTTGTGTGGTGCCAACTTGGCAGAACCACTGAATAAAGTCTCTCAAGAGCGATGGTCGTTAGTGCAAATATCGAGGCAAAGCCCGTAAAAATGTCGACAGTCAAATATATATCTCGCGAAGTGTTATCGATTTTTTCATTAGATGTTAAAAACGTTACAATATAAATGTACATAGGAACGGACACACACCCAACGAGCATGTCAGCTACAGTTAAGCTGAGAAGGAAATAGTTGGTCAACTTGCGCAGAAGGTTACTTCTGGTGAATATTACTATTGTAACGGTGTTGCTTATTAGTATGAAGACGTCTACTAACCCATATCCAAAGCACCAGCCAATCAAAGAGGGCTCTGAAAGACTGAATGTTTTTGAATTATTTGTAGAAATATTCATGCTGTTGSCCTTTCTAGTCGATTATTTGTTGAACCTGTAAATATTAAAAATAAATAAATAAAAATTTCGACAAAATGCCTTGAAAATGTCACAATTTATCAATACTATTTATCAAGCGGTTCAATGGTTAAACACGAAGCATGTAATCGAAGTTGAGTGCCCAAAATTTGGAACACGTATCCTTTGAAGCTATACCTCACACCCTCGATTAAATGCTTTGTGATTCATCTGTGAAATGGTAAAAATAAAAATGAATGAAAAAATGGACGAACAACCCATGGCAAAAACTAAACGAGTAATCCAGTACCGCTCGAAAGCTGGATTTTCATTGCTCCCTAAGTACAGTACCGCTTTTGTAAGGTTAGGTTTAGTGCTATTGTTTGGATGACCAATCTATGGTTTTTTAATCCAATCATGTAACTCGTTCCGAGCGGTACAGGCTGGCTCAAAAAAAAGAGTCCTTATTTACGCGAGCAATTTTCAATTTTCCATTTCTAGGAACCTAACGGAGCTGTGAAAAAAAGTAACAATTGTGTAGTTTAAAATTAACTCCTAAAAAACGAGCTTCGTTATTTAACAGAAAATAAATAAGACAGTTAAGTTAATTAACAAAAAAAAATACAATAAAATTATACCAATGATACCCCAAAACATATAATACTCCAGATTCAATCAATTTGTACCTACACTCACTACTGTATTCTTGCGAATTCAATAAAGATATTTTCCAATAAGGTTTTTTTTAGCCGCTTCAACACTAATATTTGCGATGCCTCCTTGTTTGAACTGAGGAAGTATATATTGAATACTGAACTCGAAGTGTGATGCAGATCAGTTATTAATGTTTCCATTCGTTCTTTTTCACCCCCTCGTTTGTTCCGTTATTTTTTTCCCTTAAATTAAAAACAAATGATACCATCATAAAAAATCTTTACTATAAAGAGACCGCTTACAACAACTTCTTCGCCACTGGCGCTGATTATATCCCCGAGAGTTCCGGGTTTCTTGAAATTTAAGGCTTATAAAACGGCTTGGTGTCAGACTGTTAGTCCTAAATAAACCTTTATTATTTTGTCAGTTAATGCTGAAAGAAGATTAGAAAAATTAAAAGCGAAAGAGACAATAAAATCTTAAGAAATAGAGTTTGACAATTAAAAAAATTTTTTTTGGATATTTTGACGAACGAGGGTCATTAAGAGTWATGAAACCTTTTTTAACAAATAAACAAGAAGATTAAACAAGGTAGAGGCCTAGTTACTAGTTTAGAAAATAGCACGAATGTTTGATCATGCGCAATGTGTACTTTATGCGCCTATGAAGTTTCG